GCAGGTCGTGCCAGAAGGTGAAGGAGTGGAACCCTGCAGTGCGATACAGAGAAGTGATGAAGACCTAGTGTCAATAGTAGGAGAAAATGATATGATATTTGGAGGGGTGAGTCAAGTGAAAAAGAGCGGCGTAAAGTCGAAGAGGAAGAAAGAAGGGAAGAGCAGGAGAGGAAAGGAGAAAAGGAAAGCAGACGACGTGAAAAAGGAACCAGAAGGGGGAGAGGAGAAAAGGGAGGAGGAAGAAAACAAAAAGGAGGAGGAAGACGTGAAAGTAGAAGATCCCGACGGGGATGATAGCGGCGTCGACAGCGACGACTCACAGAACAGACCGGTGGAAGAGGTGTCTAGGGAACCTTCGGAGGGAGGAGTACATTTGGAAGATAAACTGTACGGCGACTATGAGGATGAAGATGACTATGATGATGAGGAGGACGACTATCACGAGGAAGACGAGGAGGAAGAAGACGAAGATGATGATGAGGAGGAGGAGGAAGCGGACCAAGCGGACGACATCGATGAGCTAATAAATCGGTACCTGGACGAAGTGGAGCAAATTGTACAATCTTTGGGGCCTGCAGCAAAAGACGATTCCACTGAAACGATCGGAGTGTCTACTCCCTCCAAAGGCAACAAGTCTGACAACAAGGACACGGAGAGTACCTTAAGTGCCAAAAAGAGCTTAAGTGGAAGTAACGACGATTTGACGGAAGAAAAAGAATTAGGGAAGAGAGAACGATTCCGATACAAATCGACCAAAGAAAATGTCTACGAGAGGTATAAAAACGATCTGAAGCTGTACAGGGAGATGTTGAAAGAAAATAAGCTAAATGAGTTTTACAACGAAATAATAAGAAATAGAGATTTAATAGACATAAATTACAAAAATGAATATGCTTTAAAAATGAAGTACAATAAAGGGTATGATTTTTCCTTACACAATTTACACGTAGTGAATGAAGAAAAGGCAAGTGAGAAATTCTATTCCAATTTTGTAGCAACGTGTGATGAGGAGGACAAGGCGACATTTCAAGATGTGAATTATTTTGCTGATTTGACAAAAATAGATGTCGATCCCCTCATGTTTAAAGAGTTTTACATAAAATCGAGTATATGTAATGGGGAGTTCTTACCTCTGAAAAGTACGGTGATCGAAAAGATATGTTTCATATCAAACCATTTAAAAAAAGAACCCAGTACTAACCGAATCACCATTAAGAGCAAGAAATCGATTCTGCATTACCTATTTTTGAATATAGTTAAGAGGCTTAAAAACTTCTCCCTAAAACAGTGCATTAAGAATGTGGAAGAATCAAACTTACTGGATATTCTTTTTCTCCTGAATGAAGAAATTGTAAAGGAATCGAAAAAAGAGCTGAACATAGGGAAATGTGTAAATAATGTAATAGCTCGAAATAATGACTGGTATGATTTAATCAGCTTCGTCGTTATGATTATGTTTGGCTGTACGACGTACATGAAAGAGCATTATTTCCTAACGGAGGAAGAAAGAAACGAATTCATAACTACGGATCAAATTGTCGATTTGCCCATATTTGAATATCTCGACGCAAACGTTATTGACAGTTTTGTCCCAGCGAATGTGCAAACACAAATTGATATCGACCTGCTGAAAGATATTACCGATGCGCCTGAAGATAAGAAGGAAATGTATCAGACTTGGTATCTCTGTTATTTATTTACCCATAAAGTATATTTAATAAATAAAATGTGGAATGTGATAAAAAAATGGGAAGCATCCAAATTTATCCCTAAACCATGGTATATAGATCACGTAGGAAGTGTCTTAGTTCCTCAGGCAATGAATTTACATCACCTGGAGGAAGATAAGCATGTCTTTTTCAGGTACACGGATCCTCTTCAAATTTTTGCATCGTTCAAGAGAAGCAAGAAATATCCCTTACCAAATTATGACAAGAAAAATTTGCATTTGGTAGAAAATATTGTCGCTTTTCAAGGAACGGCTAGTCCGTTTATGTGGATGCTAAATGTGATACACGAGCTAACTTCGTACCCCTTTTTGACAAAGGGGAAATTACACAAGGCGTATTTATTCATATTCAAAAAAGTAGTGAAGCCATACTTGCGCGTACTAAAGAAAAACATTTTAAATGAAATAAAGGATGAGAAATCGAAATATACCAAAGAGAATCCATATGTCATTATATTCACTGGTCACTCCTTTGGTGCCGCTATGGCCCAGTTGAGCTCCTTTTATTTAGCCAAAATTCTGAAGGCTACAAATAATCCCAAAGTGAAGATCCTCTCTGTGACATATGGAATGCCCATGTTTTTTGATGACCAATTTTCGGAAGACTTCCGAAAAAGTGGTGTCATTAGTAACAACATCACCACTGATTATGATCCCGTGCCAAACATTATGGCCGTTCCTGGAGTGAACGATTTTAAGGACCCAGAAGAAGAGAAAAAATTATCTACCATTTTTAAGATTAACGATTTGAAGAACTTAAATCATGATTTTGGTGACAACATTTACAACGGAAGTGAACTGTTTCATCAGGATAGGAATCAAACTCGTTCGATGCTACACCTCCTTACAAAATATATCTTTAACCATAATGTCTTTCTCGATTTGGGAGAGTTACACTTTTCACAGACGCACTACTTTTTTTATTATGTGTTCTTAACTCTCCTGTCCGGATGGGTCAATGAAGCCGAATGGGGCACTTTCTTCCACATCCCATTTTTCCTCTTTGACCTTATTAATTTCACGCACAGCGAAATCATGACCAAGTCGAAAGAGGTCTACAAAAAGTACAGAGAAGATGTGATTAAGAAATTGCAGAGCAGCCAGAAGCAGAAAGGTAGCAGTGCTAAGAAGTAGTCCAGGCGCCCCTGAGAAAGCGGGGCCCTGTGCATCGCGCGGGTTCCTACGTTTATATATGTGCGTATATATATGTGTGTATATACCAGTGTGTATATACATGTGTGTCTATACATGTGTGTATATACAAGCGACACTACGAGGGAGAAGATTATGTGATGCCCCCCTTCCCCTCAGCCCCCCACTTTGTGTTTTACGTGTCGCGTTTATCACGTGATCGATTGTTAATGGCATGATCGATTGTTAATGGCATCATCAATTGTTAATGACGTCATTTTTTTTTTTGAAGTGTAAACAAGTCTCTATCCGTGCTTCACAGATACGGGTCTGTGATTTATGGATACAAATCCTTTTTTTATGGATTTAATTTTTTTTTTTAACCACCCCCGTGTCCCATTTGTACATTTCACTTACCAGCATAATTTCCGTAGTTTTTATAATTTGTTCTATTTGCATATAATTTGCGCATTTTGCGCTCCTTGCACAGTTTGCATAATTTGCATAATTCGCATAATTTGCCTAATTTTTAGTATAATTTTTAATACCCCCCCCCCCCCCCCACCCCTGTCCTACACAGTGATTTTTAGTTACCTTTTCAATAACCACTTTTCACCCCCTTTCTCAAGAAACAATTTGTTTCCATTACTTCTTGGCAACAGCCAGTGCACATTTTAAAAAAAAAGAAAAATTTGCTTTTATTTTTAAAAGGAAAGCCTTCAATCGCACACGCGGAAGGAGCGAGACATGTTACCCAACTGGGTAGAAAAAAATAAAGCGTGCATTGTGCCATTGTTAAAGAGATGCGCGCGCTATTTATATATCATAACATGCAGGCAGGCATACGTTTTGGTTAGCCCCATCTCAACGACGCTCGTAGTGGTAAATACAACTGCGAAACGTGCTTTGAGACTCCTCCCCCATAGCAACTTACGAGTTGGGCGTCTTTTCCGACACTTTCGCAGTGAAGGGTGCACAAAAATGAGCGAACAGAAATAGTGCTTCTTCTTCTTTGTTAATGGGACAATTTCCTATTGTTCGCGCAAGTATAATGTACCTACAAAGGCGTGTTTTATGCCTCCGTGAGACTTGTTCTTTTTTTGTTAAAGACCGATGCGCAATTCACAATAATTGCATCCTTCCCATTAGAAAGGGAAGGGGTGTGTTAGAAGTCACATACTTTTACCTCATGTGTGTTAGAAAATGGAAACATTTATTCAGCTACGTTGAAATATTAAGATCGCACTTCTGCAATAAGAGGTAACACTTAGGGTTAACTAAAAGGCTCTCTTTTTCCTCTTTGCCTTTTAGTAAAATCGGGGGGGTAGCATTTCCCCTTAATTCTGGGGATGCCGTACAGGTTAAAGGAGGGGCATTTACCTAGAGAGGTCATATATATCTTCCCCTATATAGATATAAAGCAATAAAAAAAAGGAGGTACACATACATTCAGAAGGCGTAACGAAAATTTAAAAATTGCTAAAACGGTAATACTATAGTGATGGTGATGCTTGTGTAAACAGCTTGAGAAATGAACAAATGGAACGAACGCCCAAAAAAAAAAAAAAAAAAACATTCGCGTATTTATCTGAACTGAAACCATTTTTCATTGGTAAAAAATCCTATCTTTTTGCATTTTTAAACTTAATTCGAGTATGATATATGAGCTTCTTCCTTTCCCCTTCTTTTTTTGTTAATTTGCGACTACGGATGGGTATGGCAAAGGTGAAAATAGCTAAAGGTAGTTATAGCCCCCGGAATAAAACAGCTGCAAACATGCAAAAAGGCAAACCTATTCTCTATGTTGCATAACAATGACGTAAAAAGTAAAAATGTCAAATGGTGTTATTCAATCCTTTATTGTAAATTAATTATGTTACTTTATTCCGACGAACGTGTGTTGAAGCTTCTTTCTTCGTCACTGTTGACGTGTGCTAAAAATGGACAGGGAGGGAAAGAAGGCTCCCGCAAAGGGAGTAGATTTCCTGACAGTCAAAAATGTCATCCTGCTAGTGTTCGGCGTTATATCTTTTATACTTATTTATAAGTTTATGAAATATCGAAAGAGAGTTTCGGAATTTAAGAGGAATAAAGAAATAGAGAAAAAGATGAAAATGTCAAGGGAGAAAAGGCTGCAAGAATGGGAAAAAGAAATGATGGTTAATAAAAAAAAAATGAGCGAACAAATGAACAAGGGAGATGACAAAAAAAAAGATAAAGCATTAGACTCAGACAAACCGAAACCAGATTCCAAGGACAATTCGTGGTTCAGCCATTTTAGGGATTTATCAAACTACTACAGGCCGTCCGTAAGAAATAGGTTACACGAAAAGATTTCACATGAATATGATGTTTCTCCGTCCCGGGGTGGCACATGTGTACACGCATGTGTGCAGGCATGCTCCCTCAACAGTCTACCACACATATACATATGAACTTACATGTATTTGCCCATTTATCTTGTTCCCCCCTTCGTAGGTACAAAAATTCAAGCTCCTGACGATAGCTTGGATGAATTAAAGAGCATAAAAAAAAAAAAATAGGAAAGAAAAAGGAACACTTCAGGCGTTCCTTAAAAACAGCATTTCCACCTTTAGCTTAACTAACATGTGCTGTACGCCTATTCCTACCCATTTTTATGCTCAATAATTCATCCTGTGTACTATTCGCGTCGAATAATGCAGAAGAGGGGGAAATATGCATGCCCGTATATGTCCCTACGGCGACGCGCTCCCACATATTCCCCCATTTAGTAGATTAATAAAAACTAATGATTTGTTCATTGATAAAATTCCTCACGGAATTCATGAATAATGAGACGTTTTTATTGTAGCTACCATGTAAAAATGGGGACATTCGTACGAGAGAGGCCCCATTTTACTAATTTTTTATGTGACATACAGAACCGCTAAAAATGTAGTGTGCCGTTTATAGATTCCCTTGCGCCGTTACGCTTAACAACTCCGTCTGTAATGCTTCTTACCAAGCAGAAAAATGACTTAAAAATTTCGTACAAATGAGAAAAAAAAAAAAGTTAATCATATCATCGTGTGATAAATGCTTCATTTTGTTGTTCCTTTTTTTGACAATATGTCGCATTATACTTGTCAAGCGGGGAACGCTCATAAGATAATGTACAGAAAAAAAAAAAAAAATACATCGTCTTGGCGAACGTTGCAAGTGTCCGCATAAAAGTGGTTAATTCATTTCATTTCTGTTTTTTCCACTTTTTCGACTATTTCGACTGTTTCCACATTTCCCGTTTGCCATTTTTCTGCTTGAAGTTAATCCCCAAATGGATGAATAAAAATTGGGTTAAAGAAGTGTTTGCTAAACAATATATTCACCCCATGTTGCAGCATCATCAAGGGTTATATACACTTAACAGGCGGTCTTAAAATGAAATACAACATTGCACACACTTAAAGAAAAAAAAAAAAAAAATTATACATATGTAAAACACAGCATATGATAAATACGCTAAAGTCAAAAGGGACAAAAAAAAAAAAAATTTCTTTTTAATTTAATTCCTTTTTTAAGGGAAAAAAATACATGTAATGTTTAATGGCATTAGCTTACATCTAAAAACTTTACACGTATTTTTTTGATCTTACATTTTTTTCATTTACATTTTTTTTTTTTTTTTTTGTGAAAATATCCATTTGTCAAGTTCCCTTTTAAAAATTATATATTTTAATTTGAGTATAACTTCATTATACATTTGACAAAGTAAAAAAAAAGGAAGAAAAAAGGCTTTATTTTCCGACTTTGTAGTTCTTCTTTTCCCTCTTTGTGTTTTAAGCGCTTTTCGCATTTTATGCATGCCCTGTTTTTTTTCTTTTCCATAATTATCCTTATTTTTTAACATATCCTGATATTGATGCCATTATATACGTAAATGGTATGTTCACTTCGGCTGTGAAGGAAAGGAAAAGCGAAAGGAGCTATTTTTATGTTCCTTTTAATTGGTCCATTTAAATGGTCCATTTAAATTTTCGATGTGAATTTTTCATGTCAATTTTTGATGTAAATTTTCGGTTAAATGTTCGATTATTTTTTCGGTTAAATTTTCGATTAAATTTTCGGTTATTTTTTCGTTTAAATTTCGACGGGCACATTCGATGTGAGCTTCTTACCAAAATTTACGACTTAACTTCTCACTTTCCATTTCGATCTCAATCTTAGACACATCGTAAGCGGTCCCACGTTTCTTAAACGAAAATGTATCTTGTTATGTAATACCCATTCATCCTGCGTCCTTTACACAAAGAAAAGGGGCGCGCCTATTGTAAAAAAAAAGCACGTGCCAGTACACATGCCAGTACACATGCGTATGTGTGAGCGAAATTGTGTACATGTATAAAGTGTACGTTTGAGCGCATGTACACCTTAATGTATATGTTTATACATAACACCACGTGACATAGGCAGGTAGATACATTCTCACCTACGTACACACGCGCATATGCCCCCTTGTAAATGTGCCGGGAAGTATAAAAGATGCTTAAAAGAGACAGCCTATCAAACCTGCACAGCAAAGAAACAAGAAGGTTCTCTCACAAAAAGGAAAGTTTCAGCTATGGTTACGCAGAATATCTCAATTTGTGCCTGGAGGAGTACAGAAATAACATATACGATTTGGATTTAATAAACGAAAATGAAGAATGTATGCGAGAGCTGGTAAATTATTATAATTACCTGTACAGGAATTATTACGAAAATGTCATAAACGTCTTTGAGGGTAACAACCCTAGCGAAAAGGCGTACGCAAATGAAAACTATTCCGTGAAGATGGACTTATTGAACAAGAGGCATGTAGAAGCTCTGTACAACATCAGCATTTTAAGTATTTCAGATAAACTCAAGTTTTACATGCTGCGAGGGGCGGTAAAAAAAAGCAAAGACATGAATGATGATGATCAGACTGGTCCCGATCACCCAGAAAGGAGCAATGAAAGCAGGGCAGTTAAGAAAGACTTATTCTCAAATCATGCAATAAAGCC